GATTTTTAATATCCTACTTTTCATTTATGGTTTTACTCACTTTAATAAATTTATTCTGTTGTTAGTATTTTATTATTTTATCTTCATCACTCTCTCTTTATCTTTTCTCTCCTGTCTTCAGTGTTTCCTCACTTCCTGTTTCTGTGATCGATTGGTTGATTGATTACCTTATCCATGCGGTCGTTCTGGACGCCGAACTTCCCTCCGAACCCTTTAGAATAATCTGGTAACAAAGAGCAGAGGAGCGAAGGTCATTTCCTGTTCGTCTGTAATGAGCGGAGCAGTCGGCCTCATCAGGACGTCCCTTCAGAGCGGAGAGGACAGACGACCTCTCTGCTCTGGAGGTTCAGATGAAGACGAGTGTTTCACAGGAGAACAGGAGGACGAGCTCATGCAAACCTGTGGAGAGGAGGAACAAAATAAACTGAGTGCAGACAGAGACAGAAGGGGGGGGGGGGCTCAAGGAGATGCAGCGGGGTCACATGCCATCATGCCACAGAATGGATGTGGTAAACAAACAAGACATGCAGGGTGGAAGCAGCAGGTGGGGGGTGTGGGGGGGGGGGGGGGGGCGGAGGCCGAGGTGACACGTGAAACCGACATGTTCGACTTCACGACTTGTGACTTGGTTCCGCCACAGAAGTGCTTTACTTTCTAAATCTACGTCCTGCTGCTCCGTTTGTTTGATTCAATTAAAACTAACAATCCAGACATCACCTGGCCCAGTGGGGGGGTGGGGGGCGGGGGGGTGGGGGGATATAAACACAATGATTCCTTTCACTTTTCTTTGCAGATGTTTTTGCATTTTAATTTCAAAATGCAACTTTATTTTATTTTTTTTGTGTCGAGCGCCACAATAAACCTGCAGAAATAAAACTGTCTCACGGCTGAAAATCACTGGAGGCAAATAAAGAAAATGATTTTTAGAAATCTGGGGATCTGAAAACAGTGACTGATTAATTTCAATTTTCCTCTGCCTTCATCTAAATGTTTATCTTGCATTCTGCCTATTTCATAATCTGTGTTTTCATAATGTTTTTATACTGTTAGATAAATATCTATTTATTCCCCAGGGGAAATTCTTGTGAAATTGTAACAGAAATTGTTTTCTTCTTGTTCTTCTTGTGCTTTTTACTTCTATTTTTATGCTTCTTTTATTTCCTGTCAGCACCTTGAACGATAATGTGTGTGATAATGTTCTGTACAGATGACTTTGCTTTGCCTAATGGTGATAATCTAGATTTTTGTTTTTGTCCAGAAATCCTGTGAAACAACTGAAACTAACAACAGTAGGATCCTGGAACCACAGCACCAAGTGTGGATTAATCCGCTGCTGAAAATAGTCCCTATCAAACACATCATTTCCTCCTGTTGGTAAAAACTACAGTGAGCAGCTGTTTCAGGAAATGATTGATAATAAAAGTAAATAATAATAATGAATCTTTCTATTAAAAGTTTTTGATTCGTGCTTCATTTTGTTTAAGATTTACATCTTCAGCAGGAACCACCAGACAGGGCGGAGCAGAACTGACAGACGGACCGACACCTTATTGGTTCTGATGGTTTCCGTCTCTTCCTGGTTTCACTTAAAAATAAAAAACTGCAGAAAACACCAGCATTATGTTCAGACTGTCTGAATTGTTCATGTTTATCAGTTGGTGCTGCAGAGGTGGGGGGGTGGGGGGGTGGGGGGTGTGTTATCTGAGAGCAGAGGCGTGTCCGTCACTTTAAAGAAAAACAGCCGTTACTGAGGAGAGGAGGAGGAGGAGGAGGAGGAGGGAGGGAGGAGGAGGAGGACGGTGCCAGGGAACGGGTATTAAGCTAAAAGGAAGGGTTGTTCTGGGTGAGGATCAGGGAGGGGGAGGGGGGGGGGGGGGGGGTTATCTGTGCCTTTCTGGGACTCGTGCTTGGCCAGGTTCTCCTTGTGCTCATAGCCCAGCGCACACTGGTCCTGCTTCTCCACCTCTACCCCATACTGCCCTCCAAACCCACGCTTATAGTCTGCAACACAACACAACACACACACACACACACACACACACACACACACACACACACACACACACACACGGACAGACAGACAGACACCAGCACACATTACAAACACCCATATATTAAAACATAGAGACAGTGACACACCTGACAGAGTGACATGAGGGAGAAACTTTATGGTGTTAAAGAAGATCCTGACGTTTCTGAACGTGATGGAGATCAGTGGTTAAAGCTCCACTGCAGGGCTGCTGCCATTGGTCGATCCATTCCCAGCTATAAAATATATCTTACATGCATCTGTCTTACTGTCATAACTCAGGTTATCAATAAGAGAGAGGGAGACAGAGAGAGACAGAGAGAGAGAGACAGAGAGAGAGAGAGAGACAGAGAGAGAGAGACAGAGAGAGAGAGAGAGGGAGAGAGAGACAGAGAGAGAGACAGAGAGAGAGACAGACAGAGAGAGACAGACAGAGAGACAGAAAGAGAGACAGAGAGAGACAGACAGAGAGAGACAGACAGAGAGACAGAAAGAGAGACAGAGACAGACAGACAGAGAGAGAGACAGAGAGAGAGAGACAGACAGAGAGAGAGACAGAGAGAGAGAGAGACAGAGAGAGACAGAGAGACAGAGAGAGACAGAGAGACAGACAGAGAGAGAGAGAGAGACAGAGAGAGAGAGAGACAGAGAGAGACAGAGAGAGAAGCAAAATGGGAAACACTCTCTTCATTGGTCACTCCGTCTCGCTCACAACATAATGTGACGCAACACAACGTGATGAACCCTAGAGTGAAAGTTGTGTTGTGAGTTATGGCCAACAATGTGTATTCTGAGGTCACCACAGCCTTAACCTTTGACCTTTGACCACCAAAATCTATTTAGTTCATTTTTGAGTTCAAGTGAATGTTTGCACCAAATTTAGTTCCTTCAAGGTTTTACTGAGATACTGAGATACTGAGATACTGAGATACTGAGATACTGAGATACTGAGATACTGAGATACTGAGATATGGTGTCCATGAGACGGAGAGACGGACGACCTGAAAACAAAATGTTTCTGACTGTCGGGGAAAAATAAAATAAAATTCTGCATTAGCTCGTGTTTTTAACAACAACTGATTATTTTATTCGGACAGTGTAAGTGAAGGGAGCAGCTCAGTCTCAGTCTCTCAACCGTCTGAAAGAGGCTTTTACAATATCTTAAATGTTCATTTACAAGAGAATAAAAGGGCTTTTAATTCTGACCATAACTGTGTGAGAGCAGCAGCTTCGCCTCAGACATGCAAATATAAATCTGAGCTCTGGCTCCACTTCCTCTTTCAGAGCCTTTTTTAAACCACAGATTGAGGAAGTCGTCAGCCACATCCAAAACCGCAGCCGAGCCACATCAGAGCTGAAGTGACAAAGCAGACGACCGACAGGTCTACACGTCAAACTGACGCTTTGATGTGCAACGATTTGAACAGGACAACACACATCCTTTAAAAAGTGTCTGTACTTCATTTATAGTGAGAAACAGAGTCCAACATAAAAACACTAAAGCTCTGGCTCATACTCAAACTGCCCTCTGACATCATTTCAACTCCTCTGTATCTGGACACTTCAGGGCCTCAGATTTATTCAGGTAAATAAAAAGCGTTACCTTTCTGAGACTCGTGGAGCTGCAGCTTCTCCTGGTGGTCCCATCCCAGCGCCGATTTGTCCTGTCTGTCCGTCTGCACGCCGAACTTACCGCCAAAGCCCTTCACATAGTCTGAAGAGACACGAGCAGAAGACGACAGGAGAGTCAGTGAGTTCTGTACGGGTTCTATATTCACTGTGATGCTGTAAATATCAAAGTGATTCTGGGCATAAAACAGCTGAGACATTTATCCACCATCTACCAAAGGCTCTGGTCACAGTGTCAGTCGTCCTGTTGTTACACTCAGTGTTTCAGTATGCAGCAGAATATCCAGTAAATGTAACCAACAGTCAGTTGAACACAGTCACAAACTTCTACGTCAGTTTCTCAGGTGAAGTCGAGTCGCTGCACCTGTTTTCAGATCACGTGACCCAGTTATCGCATATGCAAACATAGGCTGCAAACACAAACCCAGTGCATTCTGGGGGAATTTTTGAGGCGACCTACGCCTGCAGGCTGCTGTCGGCCAACCAGGAAGTAAAGTCAGTCAGTGCAGGTGTGTCAGACTAGTAGCTACAGGTAGAGCGTCTCTGCTGAGAGGAAACCGAGTCCAGACAAGTCAGGCCAGACAGTCTGAGTCTGGACATGTAACCCTGCTGATCACAGACCAGCTGCTGGAAAATATTCTCCCTGAACAAACCACTTAACGGCTGTTTTTCATCAGCGTGTCTAAATAAAGAACACATAAAGACCGTCTGACTGGCGCAGAGGTGTGATAAACACCTGCACCTTTTCATCCATAAAGTGCTGATTGGACATTCACCCCCGTCTATCATCTACGCTGGACCGGACCTCAGGACCAGACCGGACCTCAGGACCGGACCTCAGGACCGGACCTCAGGACCGGACCTCAGGACCAGACCGGACCGGACCTCAGGACCAGACCTCAGGACCAAACCTCAGGACCGGACCTCAGGACCGGACCTCAGGACCAGACCGGACCTCAGGACCGGACCTCAGGACCGGACCTCAGGACCGGACCTCAGGACCGGACCTCAGGACCAGACCGGACCGGACCTCAGGACCAGACCTCAGGACCAGACCGGACCTCAGGACCGGACCTCAGGACCGGACCTCAGGACCGGACCTCAGGACCAGACCGGACCGGACCTCAGGACCGGACCTCAGGACCAGACCTCAGGACCAGACATCAGGACCAGACCTCAGGACCAGACGGAACTCGCTCTGCTCACTCTTTTTTTTACCAAATGTGAAGAAGTTCCGTCAAGGTGTGACTGAGATATCACGTTCACAAGAATGAGACTTGCTGCCGCTCTGACTGTCGCCGGCGCAGTGACATCATAAAACACGATCCCGTCCCGGCACCAACCTACTGATATTAGACCATGACACTGGATTGTTGAGGCTGATGTCAACAATCCAATTAAACTGTGTGTGTGTGTGTGTGTGTGTGTGTGTGTGTGTGTGTGTGTGTGTGTGTGTGTGTGTGTGTGGATACCAACCTTTCTGCGACTCGTGTCTCTCTGTTTTTCCCTGGTACTCGAAGCCCACGGCGCTTTTGTCCACCTTGTCGGTCTCGACGCCAAACTTGCCACCGAAGCCCTTGGTGTAATCTGCCGATAGGCGGGAGCAGAGGGGGGTGGGGGTGGAGGGGGTCAAAGTTAAGACAGGAAGAGGTGGAGCAGAGGTAACTCAAGACCTTCACCAGTGAGTTGGAGCGATTACATAAATGTGTTTCTCCTCGTGCATCTTCTTTGTTTTTTTCTCTTTCTGTCAAAGACTAAATTTGACATATATAACATATATTTTATATATATTATACATATTTAATAATACCAACAAAAGCTTCTGAGATTTCAGATTCTGTCTGATTTTAAGAAGAAAAAGAAGAAATGAGCTGGAAGGAAACTGATACCTTCAAACCAAGAACTGGTCTGAATCTCACCTGGAACCCGACAAGAGGAGGAAACGTCCAACAAAGACTCATGTAATTTAAGTCCCCGGCAGATGTAATCTGTGTGTGTGATGTTTCACAGGAACGTCTTATTTGACGCAGAGGAAAACAAACTTCACATCACACATGCAACTGAGGCTGAAAACAAAGCTGTTGTTTGCAGCTTAGAAAAGCAGAGAAAGGCTGAGGAATGAAGGAAGAGGAAGAAAATGCAAAATAACATGATCTGTCAGGGCCTGCGCTCAGTGGCTCAGTGTGTGTGTGTGTGTGTGTGTGTGTGTGATCTCTCCGGGTTAGATGCCGCTCGGCAGGATTTCCAGACAAACCTTTCTGGGACTCGTGTTTCTCGGTTTTGCCCTGGTAATCGAAGCCCACCGCGCTCTGGTCGACACGATCTGCCTGCACTCCGTATCGCCCCCCAAACCCAGTGGTGTAGTCTACACAGCAAAGCAGGGGGGCAAGGGTCAAAGGTCAGGGTGAAGCAGCATGGGAGCAGTGGTCATGGAGCAGCCCAATTCCAAATACCCCATCAACACTGAGCGCCACGAGCTAAAATCATCACTTGAGACTTCTGCAGTGATCAGACTCTGTGTTGTCCTGCCTGTTAAATACTGACACTGAGGAACCATTGGAATTGGGCAGATGTGCTGCACCTGTATGCAGGGTCCTCTGCAGGAGATGAACGGAAACACAAAAGGTGGTGACAGCATAGCATCATGGGAATGCAGCATCAACACACTAAAAGCTAAGAAGCCAGAGCACCGGGTCACTGTTCATCATGTGCACAGTGCAGTCTGTGAGAACTGCCCCTCAAATGTTTGCAGTCACTAACTGTGAGCTTAAAGGAGCAGTATGTAAGTTTTTGCTATTTCTACATAGCTAACATTAGCATTAGTAGCTGTTTACTTACAAGTTTTTGCGAAGAGCTTCAGCCATCTTTGTGTTTACGAGACAAGAGGTTATAATACGTCCACTGAGCAGCTACAGTGATGAGACAGGCTGAGGCTAACTGGTTAGCATGCTAACTTCAGTAAAAGAAAAGAAGCAAAACATTGGTGTTTGTTTCCACCTCTGGAGACAGCTGTTGGTGAGTGAATGAAGTTTGATACTGATCTCACAACGGCTGCTAATGCTAACATTAGCTATGTAGCAATAGCGAAAACTTGCATACAGCTCCATCAAAATGTTGAATTTCAGCTTTAATCTGAAGGAGTTTCGTTTTATATCTGATCAACTGTGTAGAACCGATCGCTCCACTTCTCTCCTCTCATCAGGATAAAAACTATTCTTCACTGTAAAAAAGTCAAATAGCTTCAAATCCCAAAAACTGCACTGACATAAGACTCACACACTGAGCTGTAACTTACACCAGAGAAACAAACATAGAACAACATCTTAACATCAGCAGCACATTCCTCCAAACACGGTCTGTCGGTCAAACTGTTAGTGGCTGGAAACAAAACCCAACAGGCTGCTAGAAGAATTAAAGATCGACGGTGAATTTACAAATATATCACTAATATCGTCTGAGCTGGAATTTATTCAGAGGAAGACGACAGGCTGCGACATCACCTTTCTGGGAGGCGTGTTTCTCCGTCTTCCCGGCGTATTCAAACCCGACAGCAGACTGGAAGGACAGAGGAGGAAGTCACAACACAAGTTTGAAATTCACAATGTCACAAAACATTAAAATGAGAGTTTTCATGTTTGATCCACTGAACAACAAGTTATACTTTTAAAGTGGTTATACTTCTCTTAACTCTTGATTTAAAACCTAACTGTGGCCTTGAACAGCTGTAACAGAGACACTCAGGTACAGGAGATCAGACTTTGTAGGATAGTGTCAATCAACTGCAGCTGAACTAATAAAAACATGACACAGTTCAGTGGTTATTGAGATTTTCTGGATCAGACTCAGCTCAGCTGTTTGTCCCTTTAAAGCTCCTCCAGTGTAAAGGTCTGTGTCCATGTGTAGTGTGATTATAGATCAGGTCTAGCTTCTATATTAATACTGTGAAAGTATCAAAGCCTCAGTCCACAGAGAAATGCACACAGCCTGTATTCAGAAACTGAGCCTTAAAACCAGCCGTCAGGACTTCTGGAACTTTGTGATGTCACAACAAAGCAGTCACCAAGCCCCGCCCACCTGGACCCACCATCCAAACCTTGCAGGATTTGGTTTCTCTGAGTGTTTTTACCTGAAATCTGCTATATTTTTATTGGATCACTCAGAAAACAGTCAGCCAATCAGAAGAGAGGCTCAGAGCCTCCTCTCTTCTGATTGGCTCACCGACCTGTTGTTACTAGAGCTCCAGAGAGAAGCCTGAGAGAGGAGATGTAAAACTACACTGAGATGGTTTTTATATCTTCTGATGGATCAACACTCCAAATAAAACACAGAAGAAGAAGAAACATGGAGCTTTAACAGGAAAACCAATATTTCATACATCAACAAAAATCATGTGTGAAATCAGCACTGTGGACAGGAAGTACCTGGTCAACGCGGTCAGCTTGAACTCCAAACTTGCCTCCAAAGCCCTTGGACGTGTCTGTCTGGGAGCAGTGCTTGGACAACTTGATCTGGTAGTCGTGACCCACGGCGGACTGTCGGGACACACAGAGGAAAAAGACAGTTTCAGAGCACGTTGTCCAAATAGTAAAAGGACATGCGGGAACATGTGAGGAATCAGAAACACAGCCAGAGGTTTGAAGCGTCGACATCTGACTCATCACTGGCGCTCACACTGTGGTGTAAACAACGCTCGGTCATCACATTCATGCTGCAGCGAGCACACGGTCCAGAGAGAGAGAGAGAGAGGTGGACAGAGCTGCTCGCCAGGAAAACACACACACACACACACACACACACACACACACACACACACACACACAGGTCCTGTAGATTTGTGAAAACGTTGGCTTTTCACATGTTCAGTGACCTGTCGAGCTTCAGAACAGCATCTGCTCATTGATTGGACCTTCAGGTGAGATTGTTCGGTCACCTTCAACATTACTTTGGCTTCATCAGGCAACGCAGCAGAAGCTCTGAGACACATCTCTCTGAAAAGGTTAAATATGAATGTGAAGCGACAAAAACACAGTTTACAACAGTTTGATCCAACAGTCCACCCGCGTCTCTCACCTTGTCCATACGATCCTGCTGGACTCCAAACTTCCCTCCGTATCCATGCGACGCCTTGGGCATCGTCTCCAGCTCCTTCTGCTTCAAGCTGGTGTGCTCCGTCGACACCGTCTCACGCAGCCGGTGGATGCTACACCGAGGGAGGAGGGAGGAGGGAGGAGGGAGGAGGGAGGAGGGAGGGAGACGCATTAATGTTGCTCTCCACGATGCATTTAACAGCAACGTAAAAAAAATGACCTGCTCTCTCACTCTATGTGCTCCTGATGTCCTGAACCGAGCACCGTCTTCGCCCCCCAGCGCTGCTCCTTCTCCGAAACGTCGTTCTGGAAACAAACAGAAGTTCAAAGTTGTTTTTGTTTTTATAATAAAAAACAGGAAACGACAAAACGAACTGTCGTCTGTTTTTTCTTGATGTGATTATAAATAGAAATCAGGAATTGAAATAGTTTTGTGGGGATCACCTTTCTCAATTTTACGTGGATTATTTTAGTATTTAAGGGGAATAATAATAAGATGCCGTTCGTTTGCCTGGTTAATGAGTTTTATATGATGTAATGTGTGATCACGTTCTCCAGATAAATCCAACTCATCATAAATAAAACACGTATTATTTGGTTGGCTGCTTGTTCATTTCTGTTTTCTATTCATTGGCTGCCAAGTACACGGAGCCCGGAGGACGGAGCAGGAGTTTATACGTGGAGTCAGGAGGATTAAAGTGAAATCGAGGAGGGAGGAGTTGAGCGAACGTACCTCAAAGTCGGGGTCGGTCTCCCAGTCGTCGCCTCCATCATCCACAGCCACCTTCACTGACTGTCCTGCTGCTGCCTTCCACATCTTTACTGAGCCTCTGCCACACGCACTGAAACACAACACACCAGATTTGTACAGGTACAAACACAAAAGCTGACGAGAAGTTCACATTTCTCCACAGGTCCTGGAGGTAGAAGTTCTTCTCACGTTTATTTTTACACAACACTCACATGTAGAGCTGGAAAAATCAGTCAAATGCAGATCATCATCATGTTTTTGGAAGTGATTCATTATTGAAGTCATTAATCCATCAGCAACTCCCGTCAGTCTCTAGTATCAATGTAAATTTAACATCTTTTAACGGTTATTTTTCACATTTTCAGTCACTGTATCTTCCCTCATGTCCAAACTGCCCCTGATAACATCTCATCATGAGGCAATTGCAAAATAAAAGACAAGGAACTAAATCTTCTCTCTTCATTCTGTGCATTAATAAAGTTTAACCAAAGTCTACATGAGGCTTCAGAAGTCTGCGTTCACCAAATCACAGAGATCTGAAGTGACACAGTGTATTTTTGGTACAAATGTCCCATTTTGTGATACCATCACTCCGCTGCGTCTCAGGAAGGAAACACAACGCAGGAATTTTTTACAAAAAAAAGAGTCTTTGGAGGAAACACACTTCATGGCAGCTGTGACTGAAGTTTACAACACGTTTCCAAAGAATGAACACAGCTGTCTCTGTCCTACATTTCTTACACTTTGTGTTTTATTTCGTGCTGTTTAAACCAGTTTTTTCCACTATCTGATGAATTATCTGGACAAAAATGGCTGCTGTCCCACTTTCAAATTACATGAGACATGCAGTTTAAAATGCAGAAAATCCTCACATTTCAAAACCTGAAAACTGGGAAATAAATGAGCATTTATCCTTGAGAATTGACTTAATTAACAATCCAAATAGTTAGTAATGAATATTTCATCTAAAGAACTGGTTAAACATCAGCTCTGCTTACACTGGAGTCATGCTAGTACAGGATCGCTTTCATGGACAATGATCAATAACTCAATATTACGGAGGTAGATCTGCTTCAGTATTATTACTGTGAACAGGTCGATAATCATGTGTAAATGTGTAATCTGTAAATATAAAACACCTCCACAAATACAAAACAAAAATGAGCAAATTTACAAAAAATATCTTGCAAATACACAACAGATTCCACAAATAAAAAATATCTGTGAATACTTTCAATTAATGAAATAATGAAAAGCATTTGTGAATATCGTCCTTACATTTTTGTATTTGCAAATCCATTTTATATTCACAAGATATTTTTGTAAATTGGTCTGAAGTTTAACAGATTAACAAATTATTCAGATGAAATATTCATTAGATAGTTAGTAACTATTTTGATTATCAAGTCATTTTTCAAGCATAAATTCTCATTTATTTCCCAGTTTTCAGGTTTTCAGATTTGAGGATTTGCTACTTTTCTCCATTTTATTTCCGGTCATTATAAACTGCATGTTTTAGGTGATTTGAAAGTGGGACTGTGGCCATTTTTATCCAGACAATTCATCAGATAGTGGAGAAAATAAGTGGCTTAAACAGCACGAAAAAAAATGTAATAAACGTAGAACAATCTACCGCCATAGAATAATACAATATAATATACATGAGTCAAGAGAAAGATCTGACTGGTCTTTGATGCTGAATCACACTGAGAGGCTGAAGAGTGTGTTCCTGTGTCTGGGTCTGGACGATCTCCAGTGATCTGACGTCTCACTGGGACAAAAGCTTTTCTGTACTAATCCTAATTGCTGACTCTGCACAATGTGGGCAATCAGCATCTGTGTTCAATCACAGGCCGCAGGAGACGTGGCTCCATCCACCTCAGGAGAACGAGCCCAGGAAACGTCTTCAGACCAGGAAGCAGCAGCAAGTCCCAACTTTCATGGTGGTTACATGACAGGAGCTCCCACAACACAACCACACCCATCTGAGGGTCACATCCAACCCCTGAAATGTGTCACCTTTCACCTGTCTGAGCAGGCCTGAGCAGGAGAGGTGGTCTGAGTTGGGACCGAGGTGTGAATGGTAAAATCTGGGTAACATGGAGCAGCTGGCAGGACTCACTAAAAACCAACGTTATTTCCGTGTGGGTGCACAAGTTAGCTGGAAGCTAACGTCCATGTCGGATGGTGTGTTCCCATTCAAGTAGGTCAGGCCGCATCAGTCACTCAGGACCTTCGTCTCCTGACGTGTTAATACATTTCCCACATGAAAACAGTTCATGTAACATCCCTGCGGGGTTTTCTGATGACCACCGACACAACCGTCTGCGTACCGGGTTTTAGGGTTTAATAACCGGACAGGCTCCGGAGACGGGACGGGTGAACGCGGTGGTTGTCTCCACACAAGAGGAGTCAACGTTAAGAAACCAGCAGCCGGAAAGATGTGTTTTAATTAGCTTTAAAACAGTGACCGCGGCGGCTCTGGTATTTCCTGTTCCAGTTTTCCAGTTAGCTAGCTAGCTAAAGCTAACATGCCATCAGGAATAACCGACTCAGCGCGAGTCTGGCGCGGACGTTTCACCTCCTATCCTCCGCTCAGGTGTGGAATACTCACCGGTGTACGACACAGGTGATCCCGACCACAGCCTACACTGAATCTTTGAAGTCGACCCCGGTAGATGCGGTGCGTTCCCGGATCAGGTCTTGATGGAGAACCAGTGACGTTACTGGGATCTGCTGGCTCTAGCTCGCTCGCTCTCTACACGGCTCTTCCGGCTCTCCCAGTATCCCGTTCTCCGCCAGCGCGTGACGTCAAAGGTGGGCGGGGTCGGTTAAAATTTTGGCTGTTTTTCCGTAAAATGTAAATTTGACAGGAAACTCCCAGTTTCTCATCCTTTTATTATATTGTAGAGCTTTAACAATTAATCGATTAATTGATCAACATACAAATAATCTGCAATTATTTTGATGATCAATTACCTACAAAATAAAAAAGTATTTGAAGATGTCACCTTGAATTTCAACACGAACGGCCGTTTTTCCCTAACAGTTTATAGACCTAACGATTAATCGATTAATTGATTAATTTATCAACATACAAATAGCAATTATTTTGATGATCAATAACCTGTAAGTGTTTGAAGATTTCACCTTGAATTTCAACACAAACAGCCATTTTTCATTCTTTTCTAACAGTTTAGACCTAAGGATCAATCGATTAATTGATCAACATAAAAATAATCCAGTTATTTTGATGATTGATGAATAACCTACAAAATAAAAACAAAAGTGACAAAGTATTTTAAGATGTCACCTTGAATTCCAACACGAACTGCCATTTTTTACTCTTTTCTAATAGTTTATAGACCTAACTATTAATTAAATAAAAAATAATTGGCAGGTTAATTGATACTAAATTGATTTGAGTTATATTTGTATTGCCTTCTGTCCCACCATGATCTCAAAAAACACATATGCTCACAATATAGTTTCATCCAGAATACTTTTACATTTTTACTTCATTAATATAAAGATTTATGCAGAAAGGCACAACTATCAAATAAATAAATACTTAAAACTAAACTTCAGTGGCCCTAATACGCCATCATATACTGTAGTGCAATAAGATGTTTAACTCTGCAGGGTTCTTCTGATGAGAAACATGGTCTGTTTGTGTNCAGTTATTTTGATGATTGATAAATAACCTACAAAATAAAACAAAAGTGACAAAGTATTTGAAGATGTCCCCTTGAATTCCAACATGAACTGCCATTTTTTACTCTTTTCTAACAGTTTATAGACCTAACTATTAATTAAATAAAAATAATTGGCAGGTTAATTGATACTAAATTGATTTGAGTTATATTTGTATTGCCTTCTGTCCCACCATGATCTCAAAAAACACATATGCTCACAATATAGTTTCATCCAGAATACTTTTACATTTTTACTTCATTAATATAAAGATTTATGCAGAAAGGCACAAATATCAAATAAATAAATACTTAAAACTAAACTTCAGTGGCCCTAATACGCCATCATATACTGTAGTGCAATAAGATGTTTAACTCTGCAGGGTTCTTCTGATGAGAAACATGGTCTGTTTGTGTTGTGTTGTAAACCTTGTGGAAATTAAATTTAAAAAAGCCTTCTGTCTCTTCATTAATAATGGTGTTAATGTCATTTAGCTTAATGGCCTTGAAAACAAGAGAAAGGCAAAACTATCAAATATATAAAAACTAAAATCAAAACTAAACTTCAGCATCGTCAAATCGTCCCATGAGTAATTCGTGTCCTTGTCAGTGTGTAATGTATAAAGTAGTGCAGCAAAGTAAAATCAAGTATATACTTGAAGTTGTTCCACTTAAGCACATAGAAGGTCATTAATACACTTCAGAGTTTTGCTTTTGTACAATTAATAACTAAAATATATTCACTAAAATACACTAAATATATTGTACAAAATGAGCTGTTGAGCTTCAATTCTTCAATTCTCCAGCAACTAAGATTTAAAATGGAGCAGCAACTAACTCTGATATGAGTGATATGAAATGCGATCGCTTCCTGTTTTCCTGAAAGTTACTCACAGTTCAAATGGAAAGGAAAAGGTAGCACCTGGCCAACACTGCTTTCAGGTAAACCACCAATCAAGAGTATATGTAATGTGGAGTCAGTTAGAATGACAGAGTGAATATTTCCTGACTAAAACTGGACTGAAACGTATCTCCAGTGAAAACAGTTGAAATGTGTAAATGGGTGTGTGTATTTAGTGTTGGAGCAGTGTGTAGCTGGACTTTGACAGAAATGTCAGTAAAGTGGTTGATAAACACCACAGATATCAGGAGTCTCTAATCAGGTCATTTGATCCACCTGTGTGCCCCCCACCCCGCACTCAGAGGTTGCCATGGTGATTTCAACTGCTTAAGTTTTACTGAGTAGCACAGATTCAGTTGAAATAAACCTCTCGAACTGAGGCTCGTCAGTGAAATATAACTAACTGTTATCACATGAATGTTTAGATTTTGTGAGAGGAGACTTTGCTGATCTCAGTCCTAAAAAATGTTTGTCTGTGGTGCCAAAAAAAGTGGCCAGTGCAGCGATTTTAAAAATGCCTCCCTTCCTGTTTCCTCCTGATCTCATTTTACATTAGTGAATGGGGCAGTTAGATGGTAACCTGCCACTTTGAAAGGGCAGAATTCAAATCCTGTGAATTTCAGGTGACACTGTCCATCACAAGGAGGCACTTCAAATAAAACACAGAAGAAGAAGAGACTATGGAGCTGTAAATCAGGCGGTCTGAGGAAGTCAACAAAAACAACACTGACCTCAAAAAGAGAAGCGTCAGTCTTTTGATCTGCAGTGGAAAATAAGTTTCAGTATTTTATTGAAAGTAAGCAATAAATAATACTGTGATAAAAATAGTTTATAAGTACTCAGACTGTACATCATTGTTACAAGATCAGAAAATTCAATGGGAAGAGCAGGAATAAAACAACAGCAACATG